CCCCCAAAACCCCAAAACCCCGCCTGTCAAAATAGTATTAACTCATTGGATTTGAAATTAAGAATAATAAATTTGAATTCTAAGAGGAGATACCTACCAAAATATGGAAAGCAATAAGCCTATAGTTAAATCTCACCAAGCCCCAGGTGGAAACAGTAATTTTTCCCTTGGCTGGGAAGAACCAGTTGTGAATAAACAACCAGTGCAAAGAGTAGGTTAGAATCCTTATGCTCATGAAGAACCAGTCGCCTAACAAAGAGTGCAAAAGCAGTATGTGAATTAGTCACCATGGGCTTCTCATGACGAGCAACCTAGTTTCTAGCAATAAAAACAGAGAGTAGAGCAAAGGCCTTTTGCCACTGATGACAGTTAGTCCAACAATGAATCCAATTAATATGGAAACAGAGCTGGTAGAAAAGTATTCTAATAATAGCAAGATGCTCCATGGGCTAACCATGATAATGTACAGTTTAATCAACCAAGATAAGAACCAGTTATTAACTAACCAAAGAATGCACCATTTGCTACCTATGGCGGTTAATCAACTGAGAATACTCAACCAAAGGTAAACTTCAGAGTCAATCAAGCACCAGGTGGAACTAGTAACTTCTCTTTAAGCGATGGCAGTTAAGGATCAGACAGATTCCAGACATCTAATCAAAAGGCTAATTCACAAATGGAGAATAGAATTGGGCAAGCTTTTATCGGCAAGCTAAATAACAATCAAAATCAGGTAGCTGGTTTCAAGTAACCTCTTGGATAGTAGAATGGACAACATGTATTTAGTCAAATCACTTTTTGACCCGATAAACAACAATTAATGACCTGATAACGTCACAATCTTTGTAAGAATAGAAAGACCAATCTTTCCTTTAAGCACCGATTGTTATTAATAAATCACTTCTTTGATAACAAACTTAACTTTAATTCGTCTTCTTATCATTTATATCCATATTAATACTGAAAAAATGAATGGATATATGCATTTATAATTTAATTAAAGTATAATTAGTAGTTGATAACATTCAAAACGAAACAGAAGTACTTTTTCAACAGCATCACCTTTACAGTCATTAGTCTCAAAGCTATTGAGTCTATCTAATTTCTTTAATCTTTAATCTCTCCTCGTCTATTTATTTAGCTAGTTCTTGTTATTACTTTAACATTTCTTGATCTTTTTCTTATTCTTGAGTTGAGCCAACATGAGACTCATCTAAGAAAAGCAGTTTTTCATAGAGCATTCCCTCATCTTTAGTCCAAGTTTTCTTGAGTTTATGTTACAGATGGAACTTGCTCAAAATCTTTCTCATGATATCTGGAGTCAGGATTGGCTCTGGAAGAGTAAAAGCTGCATCATGCCAGGCAACAACCATCTTTTGAATTTCTCTACCGCTGAATCCTTCTGTCTATTCAGCGATTTCTTGTATTATATCTGCAGACACACCTTCCATTCTAATTAGCTTTTTGCCAGTGTAAACTGCTCTGGGATGTTGATAATAGAATTTAATTAACTCTGTTTAAGTGACAGGAGGTTGACAATACCTAACTAAATAATGGAAAAGCATAATTCTTCTCTCATTAACTGATGGCAGGCCAAATCCAACGATTTCATCAATACGATCATGAACAGCTTCATCGAGCTACTCTGGAGAATTTGTTGCTAGAACAATCAAAACGTTGTCTGAAGGTGAACCAGTTCTATAGAGGAATGAGTTGATAGTATGTCTCATATACTCACTCATTTCGCTTTATTTTCTGTTTCTCAGAAAGGCATCAGCCTCATCGATGAATAGAATAATTCCACCTTTTTATTGCTCAGCCCAGTCAAAAAGTTTATTTAATTCTCTTACAGCGAGAGGACCTAGTGGAGCGATATCTGAACCTACCATCACTGCATATTCTAGTCCTGATTTCATAGCTAGCTTTTTTGCGAACATTGTTTTACCTGTACCTGGAGGACCATAAAACATGAGATTCTTTGATGGAGCAAAATGCTTCTTTCTGTTTAAAACAGCATAGGAAATCTCTCTCAATTGCTCTTCAAGATTTTTCTCTAAAATGACACCTTCTAAAAGATCTTTTTCAGTTCTTCTCATTTTTTAGTGGAAGAATTTTCTTGCATATAAATAAGGGATCATTATGTAATTTCTTGTGTGAATTTTAGATGTTTCACGAACCAGTGTTGGCTTACCAAATCTAGCTAGAATTAGTGTGGTAAACATAGCAAGAGCAAGTCTTGTGAAATGGAAAGCTCCAAATCCTACTAATAATAGATAAGTAGCTCTGCCTAAAAACTTAGGATTCATAAACACTGAGGAGGCACTTCCACCTAACATATTGAAAGCAGTGATGATATTCTATCTTTGAGTTTCTCTTCTTTCCTTTTCAGCTTTATCAAATAATTCAGAGACAAATTGCTGATTTCCTTTACTTAAATTTTCCTGAGCATTTAACTCATCTCTCATTCTCTATTACTTCATTGCATCAATATCTAGTTTTTATCTGTGCTTTGCTTCCAGCTATTCCATTGCAGCTTAATTCTAAAGTGCAGTCTTTCTCATTAAGAAATCATTCTTGATCGCCTCCTACTCTTGTAATTACCTTAAATTTTGTTTGTTTTATTCCTCTAGTCTTTATTTCTCTACAGCAGCTTTCAGTTATTACTCTATAAAATGGTTAAAGATGCAATATGAATCCTTACAATAAGCAAATAATTATTATTTCTATTGATACTCGTATTCAACAGTTTATCTTCTCAATTATTCTTGCTTCTAAGTGCTATCTTCATCCCTCAATCTTCTCATTTCACGCATCTCTTCCTTTTATCTTAATTTTTCCTGATCTCTTTGCAATTCTAATTGAACTTAATATTCTGCTCTACGCTTTGCCATCTCTGACTCATATTGAATAGTTTTACGTCTTTCTTCTTCTTGTATTTAAGTTTTCTATAATTCTAATTTCCTATTCAAGAGTAAGAAAGTATATAAATTACTTAGTATTTTCTTAAAGCTCCAATTGCTTAGTCTCTTCTTTCTTTAGTGCAAGTTCGAATGCTTATTTTGCATTGGGGCTTTGATCAAGATATTTAGCAGCCTATAGGGAATGTCAAACAAAAGTTCTTTACCTGAGCAGCTTTCTCAAGACCTGATGAATCGAATCCATAATACCCTTACTAATCTTTTTTCGGCATATTTGATATTAATGCTTTGATTAAAAATATAATATTTAAAGAGCCACTAAAAGATAAATAGTGTTTTTAATCAATAAGTAAATTTATTTTCAATCCTCTATAGTTAAAACATTAGAAGTCAGTAATAATTTGTGCTCATTTATGCTTCTCAGAGGTTTCTAAACTAGTCAGGTATCTTAAATGCCTCTTTTAAATCAGTTGAAATTTCTATACCATGATCTCTTAGCAATTGAATTTAACCTAAATCATTCATATTCATAACAACTGTCTTTCCATCTATTTTCCCTTGCCTCCAATGACCTTTAATTATTACTTATTATAAAGGATCAATTAAGAATCCCTCTCCATTTCTTTCATCTTTTGCCCAATTACCTTCATAAACTCGACAATTTTCAGTTTTAAAGTACTATCGCCCAACTCCTTCTTTCTTATCACTGATGAATTATCCATGATAATAGTCCCCATTTGGGTAGAGAATTAAACCAACACCTTCTTTCCTATCATCGAGAAACTCCCCTTGATATTTAGTACCATCCATAGAAAATAAATACCCATACCCCTATTTTTCAAAATCTTAATGGCCACCATAGTATACATTTCCATTTTCAGAATACTCAATCTTTCCTTAGGCTGGTACTTTTCCTTGTTCAAAAATTCCATAAAAAAATTTCTTATTTTCTTGCCCATCAGTATTTCTTCCCATCGCTCTCATTATAATTTTACCTTTTCCGTGATATTTGTCGTTAAGAAATTCTCCTTCATATACATTTCCTTCTGTCATAATCATTTTCCCTTTTTTCCTTTAATCGTTTCTCCATTCCCCTTCAAATCTAGATCCGTCAATCCATTTCATCACTCCAAATCCCTCTCTAACATCTCTTTTCCACATCCCTTCATATTCTCCTTGCTCTGTTAAGATTGCTTTTGAAGTAGCCTTGCTAGTTTCTCTTTTAGTCTTTGAAGCAAATAGTTTTTACTTATCTGACTCAGAAAATTAGTGAGTTTATTCATTTGATTCCTCATCTTATATCATTTTCAAATCATTGTAGATCATTTTTCCTTTTCCCTATCTTTTACCGTCAACAAATAACCCGATGAATACATTAGAATTAGTGTATTCAATTTTGATTTTCCCATTAAGTTTTCCCTTAATAAATTTACCTGGAATTACATCATCCTCTTAAGTGATATAAATATTTCCAAATTTATCAATTAACTTTCCAGTCCTTATCTCATCGTTTTGATATACGCCATCTATTGTTATATCTTCACTCTTAATAAAAAATTTCCCCTGACCTTCTCATTTGTCATTGTGCCATTCTCCCTCGTAAAGATCTCCATTAATATAGTGGAGTTTACCTTTTCCATTTTTATGTCTATTTTGAATATTTCCTTCATAAACATCACCATTTGAATATCTTATTTTAAAATTTCCATTAGTATCAGGGGCACCATCTTTGAAATTACCTTCTATGATAACTCCTGACTTGTAATAAAAGTATATACCTCTTCCATTTGGTTTATCATCATTCCATTCACCTCTATATACATCATACTTCTTGCTTTGACTCAAAAAAAGTTATATTCCAGGTCCCTTTTTAACTCCCTCAGAAAAGTTACCCTTATAAATGTAATCAGCATCAACTTTCCTGCCAAGTCCTTTTGCTTTGTCAGAATTATATGCTCCTGCAAAAATTTAATGTTCATCTTTTAAGCAGGATTCATTCGTAAATTCCTTTTTAATTTCCCTTATTAAATCGAGGAATGGCTAATTATGCGATTAACTTGTATCTATTATCGGAAAGCTTGGAACTAAACATTTCTCTTAGTTCTCTTCTTTTTATTCTAATCTTTATAGTTCTGATACTATATTTTAGTATCTTATTAAAGGATTTTGCTATTTTTAATCTTCTTTTGCCTCTAGTTCTTACCTTTTCACTTTTTAGTTTTTTCTGGGACCTGCAAATGAGCTCTCAGCTATTGATTTATTTGGCTCAAATTTGCTAAGTTTTTAATAAGCTGTAGACAATCTTTCTGATAAATTATTTCTCTAACTAGCTACTCCACTTTCCACATTATTAGTTTGATACATTTGTTTTCTCATCAAAATTGTATTATTTGACCCTGAACTCCCTTTGACTGGTGACTCACTAAATGGAGACATGTAAGCATTAATGTTATTGGATTCAGGTTTAGGAATTCTTTATGAAGGCTACTATCTCACCATATAAAAATTCTTTCTTATAAAGCTGTTATTCATTTTCAAATCATTCTAATCCTATTTTTTCATTGATGACTCTCTCTAGGAATCATTCGTAATTGTAGACTTCTAGCTAAACAGAATATATTAATTTTTTTCCTAACTAAATTAGGTCCATGGTCTTTAGCTTTATTAGGAATTGCTAATGTTCATTCTAGCCTATGTATTTGGCCTTACTTATTCTCTTTTGTGTTATGTATAAGATTTATTAGCTTCTAGGAACCTTCCAGTTCCATTAAGCTCCTGATTCTCATTTATTATAATCATTGAACTATTTTTATTTAAAGTGGTATTCATTGAGCCTTTATAAGAGGTTAGCTCAGACTTTTAGTTCGATTGTTAACCAGTTTTAACTCTTCTAAGATGATCTATCAAGTTATCAAAATGCTCCTATTATTTTACATTTTCCATGAATTACTTGGCGCTCAAAGGATTTTAAAGAACAGGCCGGCTTGAATTCGTCATTAAAATTCCCTAGCTATCTGGGATATAAAAATTTACATGAGTTTAGTTTTAAGCCCTAATAAAGGAATTTTCGAGGTTCTTAGGTCGCACTTGAGATTACGAAGTTTTTATCTATTATCTTTGGTGTAAGAGACTTTACCTTGACTGTTGGCTTATAAAATTTTCAGTGTTAATGTTGTTGCTTTTATGATCAGAATTAAACCTAGCATCATAGTAATTGGTAAATGAATCTGTAATTTAGCTTGTATCTTGAACAATATTCTAATGTTTCTATCTTTTTGAAGCAAGACTTTAGGCGATGTTACTGATACTTTTCCTGCTATTTGTTGTTTTGCAATTATCATCAGAGATAATAGGCTAACTTGATTTGCACTAAGTGCTATAGTCAATGATATTGAACTGGGCTTATTAATTCATGGACTGCTTTGATAGTAAAGAGAGCTAGCTTTACTAGAAAACTTTTAGCTATCTGTTACCTACTTAAGGTGTCATATTAAAACTCATTATCCTATTATAGTGAAGCTGTCAGTATATGTATAAATTTAATTAAATTATTGTTTTATTTTATTTGTTTACTTAATGAAATATTCATTTAGATTTTTTATTCTTGGGGTTTTGGGGTTTTGGGGTTTTGGGG